CAAATTTAATATTTATTCCTGTTTCCTCCTGTTTCTCATTGTGCGCAAGGTCTTATGTTTTAGTAATAATACGGGTGAGAAATAAACGGGAAAGAAAAGCGATACCTCGACGTCACATGTCGAAAACGCAACGCCGCAAAATGACGTTAACTTTGAGCGATCGGTAAGAAAGCCAAGACGAAAACGGGGAAACAATCTTTTCACTGCGAGATTAGCGAATCGCGCGGCCTGTCGGTTTCACCGTCAAGTAAGAGAATTACTTTCGAACTCGTAGACCGATAAAACAGGCCCTCTCTCATTCGCCACCGCGCGACTCGATTCGAGTTGGCAAGGCGGACCTAAAAACTTTCCTCACTCGTAAATGAGAGTCACCTGGATGCTCAGTTTTATAGTCCATTTGCATCCGGCTTTAAAAGTGCCGTCAAAAGAATCTTGCAATTAAAGGCACGGTGGCATCTTCGCGAATATCACCCAGCCGTCGTTTTTCAGCAGTGTCAATTCGCAAAATGTTCGTCCATCTCTCTTTTTTTCCTCTCTTTTTCTCATAGCTTAGAAGATAACATCTCGAATCATCTTTCTTACTTTTTTATTACCCAAAAATCATTAATGTTGCATCGAAACAATTTGTTGTTTTTTTATTAAACCTCGCGAGTTTGATAGCTTATTATTTTTGTTGAATACACGTTGAATATCGTGTTATCAATACATCGATTTTTTTTTTCACGGAAAAGATTTCAAATCGGCACATTTCCAGACACACGTCGAACATCCGCAAAATTGGACAAATCACTGCAGAAGGAGAGAGAGAGAGAGAAACAGACGAACATTACACATACGTACTGCTTTCGCACGAAATGGGGATGAGACGAAAGATGCAAGGGGCGAGAGAGGAGACAAAACTTCCAGCGAGATTGGATGTCTGAAAAGTGGTTCGTGCTGGTTCCATCTGATTACTAGTTTCGTTGATGGATTCTTAGACTCCTTTGGCCAGTTTGGTCGTTCTCTCGCTTTACCGATTGTCCATTTCTTTTTGAAAATCCCTCTAAGCGATCGTCGACCGGTCGATCATTGATCATGCTTTATCGGTTCTTTTTCAATAAATCGACGATTTCGTATATCGGTATACTCTCCGCTAAATAAGGGTTGCACGTGATGGTTCCACGAAACGCATGGAACCATTGCATCTGCGAATTGCGTATGACCCAAGCACAGAATGTCTGTACAGATTTAACGAAAGCTTCCTCGAAATATAAAATGATAATTTATCAAGCAACGTTCGCGCACGAGTAAATTTTTTACTCGAAAAATATTGGTCGAAAATTATCGGATTTAGGAAAACACCTGGGTTGCAGAAAATATCGACCTCGTTTACATTTGAAATTTCAACGAATGCGTAATTGCGCGAAAATGTCTGTAGACGAACGTGCATGGACGTCAAACCACGTAATTCGAAACGAATAACGATCGGTGGAGGGCAGGGAAGAGAGGGAATGAAATTAAAACAGAAACCAGAGACAAACCTCAAAATATATCGCGCCGCACTAACTCAGCTTGCGGAGGAAAAAAAATTCTAATACGCTGGCAAAACCAATTATTTCGCGGAATGCAGCTTGCGGTTCATTTAACGCAACGTGGCTACCTGATATTTTATATAAAACTGTCCACCAGTGTGTGGAGAGTTGAATCAGTTGCGGTCGCAGTGATCGCACTGGCCATCATCATTTAACCAGCAATGTTCATTTTTTTAATTCTCGTATTACGCAAAAGGATACTCTTGATGTCTACTCCATTATATGATATATTACACGATTTCTTTCTTTTTGTTAATTCTCCCATTTAAATTTCACTTGGAATACGTGAAAATAATAATAATTGCACCAATAATATTTTTATAGCAAAATTATTTTTAGTAATAATTTAGTATAATAATTTTAATATTTTATAGCAAAATCTTGAAGATTGTTTCGATAGATTTCACATGTTTGAAATAAAATCGCCCAGTTAGACGATTTTCAAATTATCAATATTTTATTTGCTTTTAAAATACCTTTTTCAGCAGCGTACGAATTTAAGTCTTGGAAATGGATCGACTGCTTGGGAAATGACTCGACTGAATGAAACTATCGTCCACGTATTCTGTAATTATATTCGCAATTGATTGACGAAATTTTTAAATCGAATTAAACGGAATATCGAAACATTTGAATTATGATTGCGGTAGAGGTATGTATAAACCGCGAACAGAAGGAATTACTTGAGATTTTCTTCCCTATAGCGTATAATTGAATTAAGTATGACTCTTTAGGCTAAATCCCGTCACTCGTTTAAAAAGTAATCTTTAGTTTCACTGAAGATTGTCTCCGTTAACCGTTCTTCATTAGCAAATTGGCCGGCAAGGATCGGCATCTCTCATTAAAGATACACCGTACCGTACCGAAAAGTTCTCGAACTAATTTACCGTAACTTTCTCTCGTAAAAGCTCCCTCCTTTATATTAAATAAAAATTTCAGTAATAGCATTCTTGTACAGCATCCAATTTGCGAAGATTACATTCCTCGCCGGATACCGCCAAAGGATCGAAGGAGGCTAACTATCCGTAAGCTCCATAAGAGAGAGAGACACCTCATTTAATCGCGCATCTTCATTCCCAATTATTGCTTTTTATTAGAATTTTCATTTCAAAAAAACGTTGGATTCATCGAGACTCGTTTGTCGATCCCGATGTAAAATCGCTAACGATCGGCATGTAATCGCTTAGCACATCTACGCTTTACCTCTATTATGTACAAGGCGCAAGAACGTTAGATATAGGCACATATTTAGTTCCCGCTGCAGAAATCGCTTACGAACGCTTACGTCACGACGCTGACGTCACGGAAGATTGCAAACGTGCGCTTGTTCTCATTCGCAAATTTTTCTAACAAATGACTAATTACAAATTCGAGCTCGAGCGTGCTCGAGACCGAGGATAGCCTCGGTATGGTTGTCAACGTCGCGTCTAGTTTTTTCCGCTCGATGTAAAATCGCGGATCTTGGTTCGAGATTGATCGATTGTGAGTGTCGTGTTAGTACTAGTTTGTATCGGCGCGGGCGAGAATTCGTCGCGTGACGCTCGATTTCTAGCGCTTTTCCGCAACAATATCGCGCATCTCGCACGACGAGCCATTACTAATTGCCGGCAAACCTGCCGTTGTCACGTGTGCGTGCGTGCGTGTGTGTGTGTGTTTGTTTGTTTGTTTGTTTGTGTTTGTGTGTTTATACGTATGTGTGTACTTCGCTCGGGCATCACAATCGGCGGGCGTGTACAATCGCATTATCGGCTATTGATTTCGGGAAGCATCGACTTGTGCGCTTGTCAATGCCGTCGCGAAACACGCGAATCCGTTCCTTCCTTCGGCGCAGCTCGGCGCAAAACGGATAGCAGTGCGCATTATCGCGAAAATTTCAGCATTTCGTGCGAGTAATTGTCCGATTTAAACAATCATCTTTTTTTTATACCTCTCTCAAAATGTATTATTAGTATTTTACCGTATTCTTCGCGTTTGAGCCGTTGGATGAAACAATGTTGCAAATTATCATATTTGTTTATTTTGTAAGGAATAAAAGTCTTTTATCTTTTTTACGTCATGTAAAAATTATCACGTACGAAAAGTGGAATAGAGTAAAAATATTATTTTATATTATTAGGCTTTATATATATAAATGTTTCTTATGTTAAGTAATAATATAAAATATTGATGAGGTATGATTAAAGTGATCGATACGCATTCAGTATACGCTTTCCTCGATGAGAACATACGACAAGATAACGAGTGAAGCGCAATTGAACTGTATAGTGGAAACATTGACGACATTAGTTCCCTGTTTATCGATAAATATGATTCAACGTAGAAAACGTCACTATACGAAAATACAACGTGACATCCGCCAAATTGATTATAGTTCAGTCGAAGGCATTGTCGTTTGACGAAGTCGTGTCCGGGTTTTGATGATCGATCACAGAGCACTCGGTTGATTTTCGCGCAGGTGTGTCGGTGGCACCTATTACCTCGTACCGGTGGCTCTCGTGCTTCCGCCGTAACGATCAACTTCCGAGGCTTCTTGTCCACCTATAGGAAAAAAGAGAGAGAGAGAGAGAGAGAGAGAGACCCGAGAGAGAGAGAGAGAGAGAGAGAGAGAGAGAGAGAGAGGAGAGAGAGAGAGAGATAAAGATGTCCGTCAAGGAAGGATGTCCGTAAAGCATCGATCGAAAGAAGACATGAAGGAAGACGCTTCTCGGCTCTCTCGCAGTCTCGAGCGGGATCTCATCAACGATTAAGAACCGCAGTTCGAGAGTACAGGACGTTTTCCGCGTCGGGTGGTTTCCTTCCGCCGAGAAGGGAAGGCCGATCGCAGACGGAAGTCGCGCTCCACCTCCGCTTCCTCTTTTATTGACGCAGTGGTGCTCATCACGACGAACCTCCTCTTCATTCTCTCCCGCTCCGAAATAAGAGAAACGCTCCTCGCCTTTGGCGAAAATCGCTTCGATATTTATTGGACAAAGATTTATTCACCGGTAATCTTCCTGGACGCTTCAGCAGCTTCGATCGAACGTCGCCCGCGATACTCTCTCGCGACGACCTTTCGACATTCGCAGAATTCACGATTGTCACGGATAATCGCGCCGGCATTATTCTCTTCGTAATCGGCTATCGACGTCGCGTGCTCTCGAGTGTCTCCTCATTTCCTTGAAAAGTTCTGCCGTCGTGACAGCGCCTAGATATGAATCCCACGCTGACTCGTCGTGATCGATGATGAGACAGTTGACCGCTATCGGTTTCGATGAAAGATATGAAAAATCAAGAGTCTCCGGGTGACTACCCAGGGAGAGCGTATGACTCACGGGCTTATTAAAGAAGCGAAAGAATATTATATTCCACGGTGTATTTGAAGATATTCGCTAGATGGGATTTTTTGAAGCGTCGGTAATCTTGCGGACACTTTCGCAATTTCTTGTATCGCGGGGAGAGTACTCTTCTCTTAGGGCGACGACGATCGCGTTTCCCCTCTCTTTCTTCTCTTCCTTCTCCTTTTACTTCGAGAGACGAGTATCGCGTGCTGCACGTCCGCCCCCTTCATTTTCTACGCACGAAGATATTCTCCAGAAGCTCCTTCGTGATCAGTCGGTGAGGTCTGGTCGGGCTCTCGGTGGGCGTACCGTAAAGTCGACTGTTGATGGCGTAGAGCTTCGGGCTGAGCTCGCACCTCACGTTGAACCACCAGTCGCAGACGAAGACCGCTTGACTGAATTGCGTGCCGTTCGGACAGAGAAACGTTGCCTGTCGGCCGTCTATGTCGCAATAATGCCACGCCTGGCATCTCGTCTCTACGTCGGCGAAGAAGCCGGGGAAGGACTGGTCGTCGCAGTAGAAATTGGTGTAAGGCACCTTTCCCAGCACCGGATAATCCGTACCTGGTCGACCTGCAATTGCAACGAATGCCGTAGTTCCTTTACTTCCAGAAAGATCAATAATATTCTTCGAGCATTTGTAGCGGCAAAATATGTACGTACAAAATATGTATATACACATATCTTACTGCTACAAATGCTCCAGAAAACTATATTTTATATATAAAATATAGTTTTTTTTTTTAAGTTTTTCGAATTTAATTATTGAAACTCGAGTGTAAATATATATTTATTTGCAAGATTCATTTAAAAATACATTTTATTTTCCTTGGAATTTTTAACGAATTATCTTGAAAATGAGGGAAGGAATTTTTTTTTTCCGAATTTGAGTAGACATTCTGTATGTGCGAGAATATTTGATGAATTCAAATAATAGTCAATAATTTAATCGTATCATGGATACGGAATGCGTTCCATCAATTTTCCCTGATATCACATTCGATCATACATTCGAGACTCTAAATAATTCACGGATTATTCCGACTGTAATTTCAGCGCTCATAGATTCCCTTTGCGCGAAATCCACGAGCGCATATAAAGCGCCGGACGATTTGGATGAGTTAACTACTTAAATGAACGCACGCGGTAGAGTTAAACTCGGCGCAATCACGATTCTTCTTTGTCTTTTCTCTATTTCCGTTTTCTCTTCTTCCGCATCTCTTCTTTACTTTCGCAGCCGCAGCCATTTGAATCTCATTGGAAAATCATAGTTTCTCGCATAGCTTTGTCGAACAATGATTATGTAATCGAAAACTAAGAGAAGACAGAGTATTCTGTCTAAATAAAATGTTGAAAGCCCAATGGAGAAGAAAGATAAGAACGTATTTAAGGTACCTTAAGTATCTAATAACTCGTGTAACTTTATATTTTTTATAGAAATAATTTTTTATCTATGTAAGTTTAATTTTATGGATTATGTTTTATAATTGTCGCGAAAATAAAATTCCATTTTTCTAACTTTGTTAAAATTCTCTAGGGCATGCTTGAAATATTTTTTCCGGGATCAAAACATCTGAAACATCTTCGATTTAATATCGGCAAGCGTAAGCGAGTGATCTTAGATTAGCGAAGAGAGATTAGCGATCGAAGAAGGTGGAAACAAAGGGTAGACAACTTTAAAGCGGTTCGCGTCGCGGCTGGAAAAGGATCGGAGGCGTCGCTAAAATAGTCCGAGAAAGTGCCTTCGGGGGTTCTCCATCCACGTCCTTGCCGCCACTTCTACTTCTACTTTCTATTCCCGCCGTCTCGTTTTCCTGGCGTCGTTCGAGGCGCGGCGGAAAACGAAATAATTAGATCGACACGGTGCACGGGCGCACTTTCGAAAGGGGTGAATAGCTCGAGAATGAGAATATGTTTGACGTGGTGTTGTCGTGGATTCTACCGAAGTTATAATTATGCGGACCCAACCAACGGACCTGGGTGAAGAGCGAGAGAAAGGGAGACGGAGGAAGAGAAGCGATTGAGAAAGAACAGAGGAGGGTGGTTTGGCGAGCGAAAGCGAGACGGCGAACGTTTATTCCGTGCGGGTACGCGGAATCTCTTCGCTGACAAAACAGGTCGGACAAGCGACGCAAGGTGTGAATTTCGTATGGATGTCGGGATGCGGTACGATCGAGTTTGTGCGACCGCGTTTGTAGGTGCACGTTCTATATACGTTCTCGGGGTGTATATTGCGCGCCTGTACAGACCGGTCCATTTCGCCGTTTGCATCGTATCGCTTCGCGTTGCGTCGCGTCGCATCGATATTCCTGTAGGCACTCACAGATGAAGCCTGGACAATCCGCTGTTTTCAGCTAACTCGAACGACTTTGCGTTGAGTGAAATTGACGTGAGAATTTCTTGACTTGGCGAGAAGTTCACCAGCACGAGATAACTCGTTAACAAGTGGAATAGTTGGAATAGTTAGAACGCTAAAAAAAATTATTTTCAAGTGCAAGTCGAATTCTTGTAGATATAAATATTATTATACACGGACCTAATGGTTTAACGGAACTTTGTATTTCTGTCTCTTGAAACGATAAATTTTAATTAACCGTAAGTTAAAGGAATAATTTACACGATAATAAATGTAAAGTAATACAGGTAAAATGTCATTTGTAGCCGGTTTAAAGCTTTCTTCCACATTAAATATTTAATTAAACATTTCAATTTTAGAGGATGCTTAAGACATGTTTCCCAGAATTTACACGAGAATACCTTCGTTATGCATCCACTACAGGAACCTAGTTCTCCAATCCTAGATGCAGTTTCGACGTTCTTCTTCCGACAGACCTCTCACGATACCGTCTTCGTCGCATATTCTCGTGAACGACACTATTTCTGTCCGACGAAACTAAGCTTGTCGCCCGATGAGATTCAAATAGTTGGCCAGACAAAGACGCGAATAGAGAGAGAGAAAGAGAGAGCGAGAGAAAGGGGAAGGAGAGAACAGAGGGATGAGATTGTTCGCGAGGTTGTTCTCGGGGACAAGACGGGATGTTATATCGTTGCAAAATTGTTTAGATAGGAATGTCTGCGCTCGAAACAAAACCAGGCGGTCTCTGAGGTCTTCTGCCTCACTGGAATTGATAAAATAATTACGTAAATAATGACGACACTCGTAATGTCCAGTCCTAAATAGCGCTAATGAAATAGATTCTTCGAATCTTAGAATCTTTTGTAGTCGCATAATTGCGTCACGCGTGACGAATATTTTTTCAAAATAATTAAGACCGATGAATTTTCGATGCGAAAGAAAATAATTGATTAATTGTAGCTTGTAAATGGAATTATTCTACGGAATTACTTGAATTCGGCGATATGAAACTTGAAATTTAATGCATGATTTTCAAGATTTATGACATTTTTTTTTACCTATATATCTGGACCACAATCTTTCGCGAAGATAATGAAAGAACTTTCTTAATAAACGTCGACCTCGTTTTTAATTCCTTCGCCAATCAGAGAGATTGCTAGTTCGCTTCTGTGATATTTGTTATACGTCGAGTACTTCTCGGTATTACTTTAAGGGAATCGTGCGGGCTGAGCGATTCTTTCCATTCTTGCGCAAATTTTACGCGTTGGCACGCGACCAACGCGACAACGAGAGACGTTTTGTTATCTTTCTCGTTGAAAGATCGACGCTCGGTCCTCCCGCGTGTAATCTTATAAAAGTCCTACGTCTTCCTCTCTTTCGGAAGTAAAACAGGAATCTTTAGTGAAGCCAAGGACACCGACGCGCACCACATCGTCGCGAGGTCATCGTTGTGAGGTTATATATCTTCAAACTTCCGGAAACGCCGTAGGATCCATGGCGGTTTTCTGGCTCCGTACTTTCCACGAGTCTTTTACTTAAATCTGTTTCGACTTAGTTGGTTTTAAGCTTTTGTTTTGAACAACGATCAGACCAAATCGAAGAGGCTCTCTCAAAAAAGCGATCTACAAAAGATCCGCCTAATAAAAGATTTGAAAATATTTTTATAATGTGTGAAACGTCTTGCTTAAAGAAATATCTATATAGATACGTTTGACATACATTTTATATGAGAAGAAATTACTGTGTTTTCGTAAATACGAACTACTGTTTCGCATTGTTTCAGACGAAAAGACTTCGCTCATTGTTTGGCAGCATCGACCTCCTTTTGCGATTCGATTTGCACGAGCGCGCATCGCAAAGTCGATATTCCTTCTGCGACGAATCGCGAGCTTCCTCGAATGTATCGGGAGAGATGCAAAGTTCACATAGAGACTTGGATTTCTGTACCGGGAAACTTTTGTCTTAAATTACTGAGGCAGAATAAATAAGCAAAACGGGATGTACGCGAATCAGGGACTCCTCCCTCCTCTCCTCCGTCCTCTCTCTCTTCCGACTTTATCTTTCTTCCTCGCTTCTTTTGCCGTATAGGAACTCCTAACGAGTACCACCGATAATAGATGCCCTCTCCCTCGCCATCCGTTGACGTTATTATTATCGTCGACAATTAATGAAGACATCAAGTTCCCGGGGTGGCATCGTATCTTCCGTTTTCTCACCTTTACCTCGAGTTATTCGCCATAGATAAGCGGCGATGTTACCATTGGCTTCACTAGCATCGTTGTTTGTCGTTACAAAAGGTGCTGGTAAATAGAAGATATTTACGCGAGATTTGCGAGATTGAAGCAAGAATACGCTCACTTACAAGGAAACAACTTCGCGACAAATTGCGAATATTAACATCGCAGATTCGCATCGCTGAAGCAATCGCATCGCTCGCGTTTGCTAGATGAAAAACACGTAATTGCCTAACGACTTGTGATAACGCGATTGTTAATTAATTCAATTTCGTACAATGAAAAAAAAACACCAACTTTTCTTGTGTACAGCGCACACGTGGATACAAATGCACATTTAAGCGCCTTGTGCATTTGGCAGGCGAACGTCGATATTCGAGAGAGAAAGAGAGATCCATAGGCCACTTTGTGCGATAACAACGCTGATCTGAGGACAGAGAGAGAGAGAGAGAGAGAGAGAGAGAGAGG